GACGCAAGTAAACAGAAGGGAGTTCCACAGACAGGAAGTGCGAGAAAAGAAACTGTTGGAGTAGAAGTGGCGGTTGCATTTAGCTATTTCAACAGTAAATGGGTGGGACCTAAATACCAATCTAGTAGCACACTTAAATTTACGTAGTTGAGGCACCATAGAAAAAAGTTTGTTAGAGCAGTTGCCATGAAATTACCTGGCCCTCTGATGTCTGTGAGTCTCATAGGGAATTATTTATTTTCCATTCTACAGCCTCTTTCCCACAGACGCAATATTGCACACCTACAGCTATTGCCATGGCAAATGTTCAGACAAGATTCACTCTACAATTCCACCAATTCAGATATTTATAAATAGGACTTGTCATACTACATCCACAGACTTGAATCATCCTCATTTCCCCTGTATTCCAATTTCAAACAGATTTTATTTTTTTGAGAATTGCTACTACTATATGATTTTTCAGTACTACCATGTCCAGAGATTGAACTCACAACAGAACCAAGAAACACGTAACCAAGGTGATGATTGGAACATACCTTCCTTCTATTTTTTTAATCATTTCATCCCAAGGTAGGCGGGAAATCCACTGGTACGCAGGGGGTTACAGGGAGTGAAAGTGATAGAAAAGAAGGAATACAGGGAGGATAGAATAAAGGACAAAAGATGAAAGGGATTCAAGAAGATAGATGGCGACAGACGTTGCATTTAAATTTTTGAAGATTGTAGTTATCAGGGAAGTAAGTAAGCGGAAGTGTGTTGTACAGGTGGGAAGAGCGACGAAAGAACCTGTTGGGGTAGAAGCGGCTGTTGCATTTAACTACCTCAACTCTCAACGAGTGGGACCTAGATACGAATGTAGTAGCGAGCTTTAATTCATGCAGCACGTCAGAGCCGTTGCCATGAAAATATTTGAAAGAAGCAACACCGCGTCGGTGAGAAAGTGACTGAAGCTGAGATGTCAAGTAAAGAATGATTACATTGCATGTCCTTCTTTGGATTTTTATCAAGAATCTCTAGATGTACAGCAGGAGCACCAGACCAGATATGGCAACAGCATCCAGTACACGAACGAATGGTAGATTTGTAAATGTGCAAGATGGATGGTAACGAGATAAATTTTCTGGCATGACACAGTGACCCACCTTTCCTTGCAGTAGATGTATAGAAATATATCAAAGTCATGCCAAACAGAAAAGCAAGATAGATTAATTAACCCCTTAAAATCTATTACCGAGGTATGTCTAGTTAACACCTTTCCATGAAAATTCGAAAATAAATTTTTAAACCGGAAATTAAGAGAAGAAACACACAATGGCTAAACATCCGGTTCATTTCTATTCTTTAATATCGTGAAAGACTAAATATTCTAGTGAAATATTGAAATTTTAATGGAAAATATTCAAGAAAAAATTACGTAGGGGTAGTTGTACTACGGGGGTGTATTATACTCTAAAATATAATTTATGCCCTGTTTTTAGCTTCAAAAACACGCCCATATATTCAAGTCTTATTATGCGCAAAAAATATGGTAGTCTTTTGGTTCACGACCAGGTTGTAGGTAGCGTAGTAAGAATTTGTTTTCGTTTGTGTATTTATGAGTTCTTGTTATGGTCCGGTTCCTTGTACCACGGTGATAGTCCAAGGTAGAACCAATAAAGAAGAACTCGAACACAGGTATGGAATAACACAGATATATTACAAACAGGAATATATACAGAGAAGTAGAAGTGTTAGGATGAACAATCAGGTTTAGTAGAGAGAACAATGTAGTCTCGACCAGTATCATTATTCCAATGTCTTGTAGTAATTGTCTGAATGCGACTCTGTTTTGGACTGCCTCTGACTCGACTCTTGACTCGACTTGAACTACTGACTCGACTTGAACTACTGACTGACTCCTTGCCTACTCCTGAGGCGCAGTATTTATTAGGTATGAAATAGTCCATTATTATTATTATTATTATTATTATTATTATTATTGTTATGGGTAAGATCCCATAATAGTTCTGAGTTTTTTTTTTTTTTTCATAGTAGTTAATCTTGTTCTTCAGCCAAATGTTACGATATCTTTAGCTGTTGCAAGAGGGTGCTCTTTTTTATTATTTCTTATTTTCTCTATTATTTTCGCTGTGATTTGGTTGGTGCTTTATGTTTCTATATGTTAATCCCCCATTGCCCTATATATATCGAGCAGGTTAAAGAAATAGTGACACATGGCCTGATGATCGCATTCCGTCATGAAACTAACAATCGCCATGCAGTGTTTCCCATGTCCACACTGTCAATATCTATCTCCGATATTGGGCACACTTTCCCCATAAATATATCAAATTAAGATATTTCTATATCCATTGATCTGGCATCTTATCTACAGCCACTTTCTCATAGACGTAACTGTGGCTTCCCTCTGTCTTTTTTACAAATATTTTCATACCAACTGCTCTGACGAGCTACTTTTACTCGTGCCCCAACTGCATATAATTTAAGCGTGCTACCAGGTTGGCATCTCGGTTCCACCCTTTCACTGTCGAAACGGTTAAATGCAACTTTCTCTTCAACTCAAGCAGCTTCTTCTGTCGCACTTCCCGACAGTGGAACTCCCTTCCTTTTACTTGCTTCCCTGATAGCTATAATCTTCAAATATTCAAATATAATGTCAATCGACATCTTCGGATGCTTTGATCCTCATCCCCGTCCTTCTCCATATCTTTTCTTCAAACAATCCTCTTGCTCCCACTCTCTGTAACCCCTCGTGGCACTCCCGCATTGCTTAAGGTGAAATGCTTAAAAAATAATAAATAAAAAATAAAATAAAAGAGTCAGGAAAATAATCTCAACGGACTAAAAGTTCCATGGTGTTAACGCTCCTCCAAGTCAGATAAGAATAATTGTATTATTGACAGTATATGTTTGTTTTTTGTTGTTGTTGCTGTTTTGTTGTTGTTTTTTAATAAACGCTTCTTAAATATGCAACGCTTTAAGATTTTTAATTTTTTTAATAAGGACAAATATTATACCCATAACAAGATTGCAATAACTAAAAATCTAAATGTTCTATTTTCTTTCTTTCTAAGAAGCCAGGTGAAAACGAATGGGAACTCCATCGCATAATCAGCCTAATGAGCCATATAACATAAATAATCATCCTAATTCTGATGAATAGAGCGCGCAGCAGAATCAAACCGGAAATAGGACAAGAACAGTTCGTTAAAGGCACTGGAACAAGGAACGAAATATTTATACTCAGAAAAATATCAGATAGAGCAATAAAAATGTATAAGGATGTGTACCTGTCTTATAGATTATATGCAAAGCGTTTGCATAATCTATTAAAAAAAAAGTCACAACGAACTGTTGGAACTGCTTCGTAACCTTGACATATTTCGAAAGGATATTAGAATAATCCAGAATCTATACTGGCAGCAATCCACCTGCATGAGGATAGGAAATGAATTCAGTAAATATACAAAAATATAAAGGCGTGTAAGACAAGGATGTATCTTCTCACCGGACTTATTTAACCTATAAAGTAAGGCGATTCCGAGAGAATTAGAAGTCCTACAGGATTCATTGGTGGCCACAATCTTATCAACATAAGATATGCAGATGTTGAGTGCTGACATGGAAAGGAAAACCACAATGAAACTACAAGAACTCCTGCAGAAGGTAACGAAGGAAAGCAAAAAGAAAAGGACTTATTCAGCCTATACAGTGAGGCGATTCTGAGATACGTAGACGACCTACAAGTATTCATTGCTGACGGCCACGATCTTAACATAAGATATGCAGATATTAAGAGCAGAGATGGAAAGGAAAACTACAAGGAAAGTACAAGAAATCCTGCAGAAGGTAGTGAAGCAAAGTTAAAAGAAAAGGACCTATTAAGCCTATAGTGAGGCGATTCTGAGACAATTAGAAGACCTACCAGGATTCATTGGTAGCCTAAATCTTAACAATATAAGATATGTAGATAACACAGTGTTTATAGCATATATGGAAAGGAAAATAAAAGAACAGAAGGTAGTGAAGGAAAGCGAGAAGAAAGGACTAAGAATCAATTGCAAGAAGACGAAATCCATTGCTTATCAACAAAAGGGAGAGCCGAACATGCAAATTATAAATCGGGGATAGCAAAATCAAACAAGTCCAACAATGTAAATAACTGGGAAGTTGTCGTGTTGGGAAATGACTCCTTTTTGAATTGCCAAAATCGGGCGTTTTTCTTGAACCCAAGTCTCTTCAAAGCCATTTGAGATATCGATTTTCAAACTCTTAGCAATCTCTTCCGCCGAAATCTTCGGTTTATTCTCCGCGATGTCAAACAGGGCGTCTTCATCGACATCGGAAGGTCGTCCCGAGCGTGGTCGGTCGTTCACCCTGAAGAAATCAGCCAAAACGCTTTTTGACCGTATTAATGATAGTTTAGCAGACTATTATTTTCTTGTGGTAGTGTATCTTCGCTCCGACTTCCGGATATTGACCTTCGAGGTCAGATGGAAGCCATAATAAGGGAGTCGATTTTGATCGGCTGAGCTAGCGTGGGAATGATAGATAAAGAAAGGTTTTTCAGCGAGTCGAGTCTTAACCGTCAAGCAATGTAGACATGTTCACTTTTGTGTCTGAAACAGCTTCCCAGTAAGGGTGGGGAGGTAATGACCGCCACTGGATAGTTAACACATGTCGATATTAATAAAAATTTGTTGATATCTCTGGATCCAAAAACATTTCGCGACCACGGCCGGAAGAAGACGTGAGAGAGAATACAACTGTCCGAAGTACTGGAACGGGATCCAAATAAATTTTCTGATATTTTATTTTTTCTTGTCGCTGTTCCGAAGCTTATTCCGTTCCGAAATGCAAAGAACGTAATATGGCGAAATTGCAGTTTTCATCTCGCATCTTCAAGGCATTTATCTGTGAAGAAAACGCTAACATTAAACAAAGTCTTTCACTACCTATCTATCTATTTAATTATATCATTCTGTTCATTATCTTAGTCTCTGTTTATATCTATCTATCTCGGTCAGTGTTCATATCTATCTATCTGAGGTCTGTTCACATCTATCTCAGTCTGTTCATATGCATCTAAGTCTCTGTTCATATCTATCTATCTACCTTAGTCTGTTATATCTATCTATCTATCTATCTATCTATCTATCTATCTATCTATCTCAGTCTCTGTTCATGTCTATCTATCTATCTCCGTCTCTCTTCATATCTATTTATCTATCTCAGTCTGTTCATATCTCAGTCTATTCATTATCTATCTATCTGTCTATCTATCTCTGTTCATTATTTATCTCTCCACCGGTCTAATTATCTCAGTCTTTTTATTATATATACATCTATCGATCGATCTATCAATACCAGTGTGTTCATTGTCTATCTTTCTATCTATATATTTATCTCATTCTTTTCATATCTCTCTATCTCAGTCTATTCATTATCTATCTATCTATCTATCTATCTATCTATCTTAGTCTGTTCATTATTTATCTCTGAACTTTATCTAATTATCTCAGTCTTTTTATTATCCATCTATCTATCTATCTATCTAGCTATCTATCTATCTACTTCTCTGTCTGTCTATCTCAGTCTGTTCATTGTCTATCTATCTATCTAGCTAACTGTCTGTCCGTCTGTCTATCTCAGTCTGTACATTATTTATCTCTGAACCTATTTAATTATCTGTCTTTTTATTATCTATCTATCTATCTATCTCAGTCAGTTCCTTGTCTATCTATCTATCTATATATATATATATATATATATATGTGTGTGTGTGTGTGTGTGTGTGTGTGTGTGTGTGTGTCTGTCTGTCTCAGTCTGTTCATTATTTATCTCTGAACCTATCTAATTATCTCAGTCTTTTTTTATCTATCTATCTATCTATCTATCTATCTATCTATCTCAGTCGGTTCATTGTCTATCTATCTATCTATCTATCTATCTATCTATCTCAGTCGGTTCATTATCTATCTATCTATCTATCTATCTATCTATCTGTCTGCATGTCTGTCTATCTATCTCAGTCTGTTCATTATTTATCTCTGAACCTATCTAATTATCTTAGTCTTTTTTTATCTATCTATCTATCTATCTATCTATCTATATCAGTCTGTTCATTATCTATCTTTCTATCTATATATCTATGTATCTATCTTTCTCGGTCTGTTCATTATCTTTCTCGGTCTGTACAGATATGCCTATGTACAGTGTCGCAACCACTCTAATCTGAGGATGCCTGTCTACATTGCAGCCGCCGGCTGAGGTACATTTTGTGTTTGTTCACCACCCACAGAGCCCACCCGTGGTTTATACTGTAACTATGCTGAGTGGACCTTCGTTGCAGTTTCTGGGAGAGAGCGTGTCATCGAGTGTGATCAACAGTCTGAAGAAGGAGGTCACATCAAACCCTCGGTCACGATGACTTGTGACTTCGTGCTAGCACTATCTATCTACCTATCGATTTAATTATCTCAATCCTTTCATTATTTATCTATCTCACTCTGTTCATTATCTATCTATCTATGTATATCTATCTATCTATCTATCTATCTATATATATATATATATATATATATATATATATATATATATATATCAGTTCATGTCTATATCTCTATTAATATTTATATCTGTATCTTTTCATATCTATCCCTGTACATATCTATCTTTTGTCTATCTCAGTCTGCCCATATCTATCTATCTATCTATCTATCTATCTATCTATCTATCTATCTCTATATGTGTGTGTGTGTTGTTAGTTCATACCTATCTATCTGTGTTAGTTCACATCTAATATAAGCTGTTCTCTCTCAGTCTCTCCCCACTCTCTCTTTTTTTATATATATATATATATATATATATATATATATATATATATATTAAAGACATTTTTATGTTTAACGTTCTTTTTTATAGATACAAGTATTTAAGTAAATGTATCTATAAAAAAAGAAATTAAAAAACATAAAAAATGTCTTTTAATAAATATATATATTGGACTTTGTCCATTTATTAATATATATATATATATATATATATATATATATATATATATATACGATGTAAATCTATTTAAAGTCGATGGGAGAAAAACCTGGATACCACAATTTTAAACGAATTGCTATCCAAGGAAATTTGAAAAAAAAAAAAAGCACAAGAAACCTGAACAGAGCGAAAGAAATTGTTCAGTACCTTAAATTTCTGGTAAGAAAAAAAAATATATATATATATATATATATATATATATATATATATATATATATATATATATATATATATATATATATATATCTGCATGCCATTTTTCGTTTTTCTTCTTTATTGCTTCTTGCCTGGTTTTAAATTTGCAGCTGTCCTGAAACTGACACTGCTCAATGTGGGTGTTTGCAAACACTTACCATGTGCCCATGAGTCACCATTTGGATACAGCAAATAGCTTTAGATGCAAACACAAATTAAGTTCTCTGTGGATTTTGAAAAAACCACAAATAAGTATATCCGTTTTAAAAGCTCAACAACAGTTGGTTTACTCTCTCGTGCTAAAAAGAATCTTTCTCAGCAGAATCTATCAGACATATTTAAAAATCTATCACTCGTCAATGCTTTGGATATTGCTGCCACGTCTAGTATAATCTGATGTTTCTGCTATGTATTTAGAGATTCTTGATAAAATCCAAAGTATCTGCAATGTTATTAGTCCTGACCTGGCCATCTCGGCTTCAGTCACTTTCCCACCACCTTAATATAGCTTCTCTGTGCCGTTTCTAAAAATATTTTCATGGGAATTGTTCTGAAGAACTTTCCTCTATAGTACCTAGACTTCATGAACTTAAAATTGGCGGCAATATCTCATCATTTTACAGTCGAAACGGCTAGATGCAACCGTAAGTTCTATTCAAACAGCGCCTTCTCTTATATTTCTCGATTATGGGACTCTCTTCCGGTTTCAATGCAATGTCAATCGTTATCTACTGCCTTCCTGATTACTCTTCTATTGTTCACACTCAATTTTCGCTTATGGAACTCTCTTCCGGTTTCTTGCTTTCCCTACTCATGTGTTCTTGCTCCGTGTAACTTTTTCTTCAAACTGAAGTGGATTATCAATATATATATATATATATATATATATACATATATATATATATATATATATATATATATATATATATATATAGCGAGAACAATAGAAGTGTAATCAGGAAGACAGTAGATAACGATTGACATTGCATATGTCATTGAAGAACAATGTCAACTGAAAACAAACCGAAACAGAGTTCTACAAGCGAGAAGTGCGGGAGAATAAGCAGTTAGATTAGAACTTATGGTTACATCTAGGCATTTCAACTGTAAAATAATGAGACCTTTCAGCCAATCTAGTACTGCGCTTAAATTCAAAAAGTCTATCTATCATAAAGAAAAATTCATCAGAACAATTACCATGAAAGTATTTATAGAGCAGGTTTAGTTACTGCTGTGTTTTTGTTGTTGTTGTTGTTGTTGTTGTTGTTTTTCTCATATTCTCTGACATTCATTAAGCCCTTGCGTGTTAGTGGCTTCATTTCCTTGCTTAGAGTGAAATCTATATATAAAATTCTGTAAAATTCCGTTAGTCCGTCTGTCCGTTACACCTTCTAAAATAGCCATACATTCACCAATCGAAACCAAATTTTGGGGAAGAACTACAAACAGATAAGGGGTAGAAAGTACCGTTGGTTTTACTAGGATGTGTAGATTATACAATAAAATTTCAATCTTTTTTTTAAATTAAATTTTATTATTTAACATACAATATACTCCCAGTATTTTAAAAACAATTTAATGATTAAAATAACAGATACTTATTTAATAAAAATGCAATATTGTTTTTTGCATATGTTTTCTTTAAGTACATATATATACAAGAATCCAGTTTCCAGTTCACCCTGTGAAAGCAATAAACAAATCACAAGGCCAAACGCTTCAAAAAAGTTTGAATTTGGCTCCAGAAATAAATATTTACGTATAGCCCAGTTGTATGTTGCATGCTCAAGAGTAAGAAATCCTAAAAATTTATTATTCGCTTTTAAAAATGAAAAAAATAAATTTTCATAAAAAATAATGTTTAGCATTAAGTCCTATAAAATTAAATTAAATTAAAGAAATTATTAAACTCCGAAGTAGGGTTTTTGTCAAAGTATTTTTCCAAACAAATCAATTTATTCAAATTTCATCGATTGATTTGCGAAATTGAATGAAACAGAGTTTGTAAATCTCGATAAAAGGAAATTTTTGTATGATTTTTTGGGACTTATAAACTTAATGTCTCAGCAACCATTTTTACCAAAGCTCATATTTCTGTTATTATTATTTCATTTTTTTATCAAAGCTTATATTGCAACGTTGTGAATATGGCAATGAAGATGAGGATAACAGTCTGAATAATGTAAATAATGTAAGCAATCATAATACTTCATCTCAAAGATATAGACAAAATCTATGTAATTTAATCGAATAGACGAATTGTCATTGTGTTGTAGGTTTGAGCAGTGGTAGAATTTCAGTATTTGCCATAAGCGCTGTTTTTCGTAGATACGCCTCTACCGAGAGCCCTGAAACATTGACCTTATGTCAGACAGAATGCATTTTAGATAATAAATGAAATATACATTTTAGACAAAATGCAAATTTCTTCAAAATCTTCTCCTGTATGGCTTGTTTCTTCAGGACGTGGGCGATCATGGCTCTCCACAATTACCTATCCTTTCTAGCTCTTAGTAGACGTTGTCGTTTCGCTCTCTCGTAATTCCTGAACTGCCAACCATTGACTCAAGCTAGTTTTCTCTTCATCTTTGTGCCGTATACCTTGAGGATGTGGATGATCGTGGCTCTCCACAATTTCCTGTTCTTTGTAGCTCTAAGTAAATTTTGTCTTTTCTCTATCTCTCCTAAACCCTGTTCAGCCAATCACTTACACAAGCTTCTTGTTCTTTATCCGTCTATATCCCTTTAGGATGTGGATGATCGTGGCTCTCCACAATTTCCAGTCTTTTGTAGCTCTAAGTAAATTTTGTCTTTTCTCTATCTCTCCTAAACCTTGTCCTGCCAACCATTTACACAGGTTCTTTCCTCTTCATCCATGTGCCGTGTCCCTTCAGGACGTTGGTCATTAATTTTCTATCTTTTGTTGATCTTAGTAAGTTCTTCAAAATACTGCGTAGTTTTTGCAATTACATTACCTCCGAGGTGATCTAATTCTGATGGTTCCCTTCAAGAATGAACAGCGTGTGCGTGGGTGGATTTGCACAAAACCAGATCCACCCTCACGACAGGCACAGCTATCGCAGTCCATCGGCAAAGCAAGGTCCAACTCGGTTGTTGGTAAACCAGTTGCAATGAATAGCCAAACCGAGCAATGGATGGCTTTCATACACTTTATGCCACCGGTCTGAATTTAGAATTTTCCTTCTCCTAGGTTAGTTGCCAAGTAAAACACGAAATCACTGTTCTCTAACCTATAACTAAGGGAAAGATAGATTCATGACTTTTTACAGTTGAAATGCCTAGATGTAACCATAAGTTCTAATCTCCTAGTCTGAATTTATTTTCCTTCTCAAAAGTTAGTTGCCAAGTAAAACACGAGAAATCACTGTTCTCTAACCTATAACTAAGGGAAAGATAGATTCATGACTTTTTTACAGTTGAAATGCCTAGATGTAACCATAAGTTCTAATCTAACTGCTTATTCTCCCGCACTTCTCGCTAGCCGGAATTTAGAATTTTCCTTCTCCTAGGTTAATTGCTAAGTAAAACACGAAAAACAGTCTGCTCTGTTCTCTAACCTATAACTAAGGGAAATATAGATTCATGCCTTTTCCAAAATGCTAAATGGACGTAAATGACTCGGTCAGAATTTGAACTTGGTACGCTGATTCTACTTTCCGTGCTGATAACCGTTACACGGCCCAAACAACACAGAGCCAAAAGGGAATTAATAAAGAATCTGTGACGTCAATTGTTTAAGGGTCTAAGGATCTGTCTACTTTGCCAGATGCACACAATGTCTAAAGCAAAGCAAATACAGGGGGTGTGTGGGGAATATCCGTATAAACTGTGCCTCTTACTCTGTAGCAACTCTCTACCTTGATTGGCTCCCGGGTCTTGTACACTTCAAGTTGCAGATTGTTTTGTGAAACTGACCTCGTTCTTGTTCACCTCGAGCAAAAAGATAATTTTAAAAACAAATATGAACACAACAAATTCAGAAAAGGGATTATCAGGGGTTCCGTTTCATACACATGATTCCCCCACTTGGCACAAAGATGAGGAAATATCTACAGGAAATAGGGGAATGAATGTTTGAAAAGATTGAGTTATCTCAAGGAAATAACTGAATCAATGTCCGGTAAAATTCTTAACTTCGCTTATTATATATATATATAGATATTTATATGTGTGTGTGTGTGTGTGTATATATATATATATATATATATATATATATATATATATATAGATATTTATATGTGTGTGTGTGTGTGTGCAGGTATGTAGAAAAATAGGAAAGTACACGTTAGGTAAATAATCCAGGGTTCTTTAGTATTTTTGTTTTTTTTATTTTTAAAAAAACAGTGCTCCATACAGAAGGAATCATATTTTTTTTAAAATAATTATATATATAATGAAATGAACAAAGTCCGACAATTATTTTAAGAATTTTTTTACGTTTATACATTCTTTTTATAGATACAAGTATTTAAGTAAATGC